TGAGGAGATTATCAACTCTTACTGTTAAATTACCAAAGGTCTCCTTATTCCATATCTTTATATTGCGCTTCAAGTAAACCAGTCTTCTAGTCCATATAATACAACTCCCTTGCCAAAAACCGGAACCCGGAACCACTCTTCAACACATTTGAAGAATCTTATATCCTCCAGCCACATGTTTTCAAACTTCCATGGTCTTTTTATATTCCCAAAACCACCCAACTGATGAATAGAGAGTTATGATCGGATTCGACTCTTTCCAACGCAGACAGCGTATAGTCATGAAAAAGGTTGTCGAAACTGCCTGATATGAACACCCTGTCAATTCGCGAGAAGGAGGGATTAATCCAACCATTACACACATGTGAAACGACTTCCATTCAAGGGAAGTTCAAGAACAACAAGTCCATCAATGGTATCATTGAACTCATTCATCAAATCTTAACTCCTAGTAGCACCAGAGTAGTCATCATGATTTCTTATGAGGTTGAAATCACCTGCAATACAGTATGGATTTTGAAGTTGATTGCAAAACACCTGTAGTTCAGACAGAAAGCGTAGTTTTTCAACTCTATCTTGAGGCCTGTACACCACCACAAGAGACCATATATTGGAGGTAGCTGCTTCTTCAAAGTCAACCGAGATAAAATAGGAACCAATCTAATTCGAAACTTCTTTGTAGAACAGATTGTCCCAATAGACTGCAATACCTCCCGAACTTTCGATAGCATCTTTCGACTTCCAGCCAACATCTCTTGTCCCACTAATGCTTGAAATTAGATCGACGCTACAATTGTTCCATTTTGTTTCAATTAGTGCGACAATTTTCGGTTTTCTCCTTCCCACTATGCCTTTGATTCTTCCTCTTTTCTCCTCGTTTCCCAGCCCTCTGACATTCCACACAAAGATTGAAGATCCCATTAGTTGATAGTAGAAATGTTGTCCCAACTTTTGGTTTTGCTCCGTCGAGGGTCTTGTGGAGAAGGCGCCTTGGGGCCTAGTCTGAAATTTTCCATCTCGAGTTTGGAGCGGGGAGTACGAATTTTTCTTCGTGTGTAATTCTTGCAACTTCAGCTATGATATTTAAGTCTTGCTCTTGATTCTCTTCCGATATCAACTTGAAACTCCTGCCGAGGATGAGACTTCTCTGATCAAGGGTATCAACATCAAAGGGGTAAGAATCGAAATCCCATTCCCGGATCGGGCTGGTTTTGGTACAGGAGGGTGAAGGCAGGTTATTTAGGCAGGCTAGGTTGTTTGAGGGTGAGAATAGAGGGGTAGTGGGGGGTGAATGCGGGAAGAAGGAAGACAAAAGATTGTTGACAGAGGGTGTGCAGGGTATCATTTCCAAGCTGGGGTTGGGGGATCGAGGAGGGGTGGAAATCTCTGGCAAGGTTTCAGGGGATAAGTGAAGGCTGGTATAAAGTGGAGGGCTGCAGGGCAATGTTTGGATTAATCTTGATTCGATTCTAGGGGCTAGGTTTTTTAGTAGGGTGGCTAGATGGGCAGGTAGGAAGAATTGGGAAAGGCTAAGGGAGATAAGACAGGTACCCCACTGGGTTTCCTCAGTAATGGGATTGGGGATGGTCATTGAGATGAATAGGGTTGAGAAGTGAAGCCCACTTTGTTGATTATGAGTAATTCCACCAGTCCTGAGTGGCAGCCCATTAAGAATGACAAAGACTTGAATAGAAGAGGACCCGATTTGCTGATTCTCACTACATTCTTGGGCCCTAGGAGGCAGCCCGACTGGTCCTACAGGGTTGTTACCACTAACGTTGGTTGAGAGAACATTGTTGCAGTTCCGTAATGGGCCTTGTTTTCTGACTCACGCCTATTTTTGAGGACCGTTTGCTCGGGACATGCGCTGCATGAGGATTGATTTAGAAGATGAAGGATCGTTCACCGCCAAAACCCCCATCACCCAAGGAAAGGGGGAGCCGCATTCCATTGGGACTCCCGCAGCGACTCGATTGACAAGTAGCGTCCCTTCCCCTTCCGTTTTGAAATTAGTTGGTTACCAGAAACTTTCGTCGGAGAGTTGACTATCGGCTGTAGAACAACCTTCGTCGAGAACATCTTGTTTTCAAAACAGATCGGGACTTCTTCAGGGATTTCACGATCAGCTTTTATTCTGATTAAAACAAAGGACGAGCTCCAAGAAGTCCAGTCGGTATCAACATATTTCCCGCAGTAATTTCCGATGGATTTGAATAGATCAGCACTCTTTAGGTGAAGGGGGATTCCATATACCAGGATCCAGACTACTTCTTCCTGTGTGAGAGCGTTACACCTTTTTTCTGGAGTCCACATGGATATCTGAATACTGAAATTTTGAAGACGAACTTGATCAAGCTCTTTGATAAGAGCAGCTTCAGATGGGCAAGGGCTTATAAGCATCCAATCTCCGTCAGCCAGCTCTTCAAACCCGAAATTTTCATTTATAGCCCAGGTCTTTTCTGCCCACGAGCGGAGTTTATGAAGATGTATTCTAGAGTAGATCTCGTTTCTAGATCGAAACCTTATAACCAGGTTTCGGCCGAGAAGATTCAGCCTTTTGTCCACTCCTTCAGGATCAACAAAAATGAAGCGATTTCTTCCTTGAGTTTTAATGGTACATCTCCCTCCCCCATAGAAACCCCCGCATCTGACTGCGTCGGTGTATGAGACATCATGAGTGACCGTTTTGCTGAGATCAGGAGCGCCTGAGGTCTGGTTCGAAAGGCTGCGAGCTTGGAGATCAGCCGAATAGAAATCCTTCATCAGCGTGGTGGGACGAGCCCAACCAACGGAGGTTTCAGCTTGGGGGATTATGATTTTGTAAACTTTTCCATTAGTTGCCTGCTCAGAGACTTGAAGGAAAGCTCCACAACGGTTCAGTCTCTTCCCAACATGGATTGTTCTATGACCACTTTTCTTGATGCACTTGCTCGGGAATACCCATTTTCTCATTGCCGCCGTTTGGAGAACCCCTTGAAGCCAGGAGATCTGCACATCATCCATCACAAAACTCCATCTTATCGATTCCACTTCAACCTGCAAGTTGTTCAACCATGTCGTTCCTAATCTGACTTTGGAGAGTGACACTAAATTTGATCCCATTCGATCTTTTCGTCAGACCGTTGCTGCGCTGCCCATCGCAAGATTGTGTCCTGCAAAAAGAAGAAGAAGAGACACGAAAAACCTCTCTACACTCACCACCCTTGAATACTCTTTTCTCCCTCCGCTCTCTCTCTCTCTCTACGCTCTCTCTCTCTCTCTCTCTCTCTCTCTCTCTAGTGAGTGATCATTTTGTTGATCTCTTTTGAAGGACTAACAGTCAATGCCTATGTTTGGCCTGGCTTTTAGAAGTGTTTTTCGACTTCAAAAGATGAAGCAGGGCCAAACACCTCTAAAAGCTCGGTTTTTGAAAAGCCGAAAAGCGCTTTTGTATAACATAAAAGCGATAACTCCGATTTGGAGCTTCTGCGAAAAACTGTTTTGAAAATACAAGATTATCCTTACCATATTTTAATTTTATTTCAGAAAAATATAATTTTCCATCATTTATACCATTTTAAAAATAAAATAAATTATACAATCATATTATTTAATATAAAAAAAATCTAACAAGATCCATTTTGACTACTTTTTATTGTTTAGCTTTTTTATTCATATTTTATAGTATAAGTCATTTATAGTCATTTTACACAACCGCTCATATTAAAAAGCACTTCTAATAGTTTTACAGCCAAACACTAAACTGCTTTTTTGAAAAGTACTTATCTAAAAACTCCAGCCATAAGCTGCTTCTGCAAAAGCTACAACAGGGCCAAACTAAGCTAATATGTCAAAACACTGCCACGTCAGCATAAAAATGCTAATAAAACACATAAAATTACAAAGGATAAATACAATTCATTTACCAAACCTTTTTAACTTTTTCAAATTATTAGTCAAAATGTTCGAAATAGAAAGAGAAAGGATGTGGAGCTACTATAGGAGGAAGGAGTAATGTTGGAGGAGGAGAGTGATTTTCAAACATGATGTACTTTATATTGTTTGTGTTTTTTTTCCTTCAAATTTCTAATGTTGTGGGAGAAGATTTGGTTTTCCCTCATAGTTTCTAAACTATGTTCATTTCATGTTTACTTTCAACTTTATTAAGCCTTATGGAATTAAATTACAAACTTAGCATGATTAAGTGTCAACAAAATGTTCTAGGTCATGAACAGATCGTTGGCCTAAGTCGCGATCCACCTGCATTGGCTTGCGCTCTAATGCGAAACGATCCTTCAGTGTTCGCATATGTTGTAATCGATCAAATAATAAACCGCTTCAGGTATGCAGTGAGTATATAAAATCGCTCGAGTGTGGAGTGATTTTCATTACAAAAATCGCGAGCTTTTTCAGCGATCCGATACTAGTTCGCCTTTGTTTGGAGCAATTTACACCGATCGCTCCGATATGCCATGAATTGCATGCTTAGTTCGGTGATGTCTGACTGTCTGCAGCGAACCACGCCGAAATTTAATACTTCGAGAAATTCTAGTACAAGTGCGGTATTGTGAGAATTTTTCGCTTGTGTTTGCGATAGGTGGTAGGTAATCTAATCGCAACAGTTGGTAGTACTCTGTATGGCCTGAGGGTCATTTCAGTCTTCTGTTCCTTGATCAGTTGATTGGATTAGGTACTGTCTATTGTCTAATATATTTTGGAGCCTTAATTAGTCGCTATATATTACCCTTTCTTTGAGCCTTAATTGAGTTTTTGACCGCTGAGTCGCTGACCCGCTTCCTTGACCACCTGGCTCTGGCTGGACGGCTGATACGCACCGTTTCGAAGGGTGGTGGAGGTTAAGCACCTACGCCCCTTGAGCGCACCCTCAGTTCTCCCCCTATGCCTACAGCTATCCTATCTACGAACCAAAAAAATAACACCAAGATAGAAAAAGGCCGGAGCTTCCGAAAAAACAGTGCATACGAATTAAATCAAAATTCACACGGCAAAAAACAAAAAAAAAACAAAACTAAAAAAAATAATAATAATAAGTCCGGGAGCTTTCATGGTTTGCGAAAACCCACCACAGCACAAACAAAGAAGCAGAGAGAACGACTGTGACGAGAGGAGGAGGAGATCAACATAGGATCGAAGGAAGGCGAATAGGGTGGGGGCGCGCGAGGCCATTATTATTATTCCTTCAGAGTTCTTCCATCTCCTCGAACCCTCCATTGTCTCTTGTGCGTCTCTGGAATCAATCGAGAGGAAGAAGCAAACCCCCGAAAGCCAGGCAGGCAGGCAGACAAATAGAAATTCCCCCATTCTTCCCTGGCTTCGTGATTTGGAAAAAGGGACAAGAGAGAATTCCCTCGTCCCCCCTCTCTCGAGATTTCTGCTCGACCCATCTGGATTTCTGTCTCATGCACCGTCTCAGCGGCGCCGCCCGCCCAGCTACGTGAACCTTCTCCCTCTCTGTGTGTTTGGTTTGGTTTGGTTTGTCGCGGGATGGCGGAGGAGCTGCAGCAGCAGCAGCAGCAGCAGGCGGAGGTGGTGACGGTGGAAAGAGCCAAGCTAGCGGCATGCATGACGTGCCCACTCTGCCACAAATTGTTCCGACGCGCCACCACCATCTCCGAGTGCCTCCATACCTGTATGCAAATACTGTTACCACTATCTCTGCTATGTGCCCTCTTCCCTATCATGGGAATTCGATTTCTCCCCTTTCCCCTGCTAGCTTTAATTTCTTACGTGGCATTACTTTTGATTCTAGTTTGTCCACCACTGGTTGATTCTTTGTTAATCGGGAGGGGATGAATTGAATTGGGTTGATCAGTCGCGCGTCCAAGACTTTAAGCGGGGCTACAGCTTGTTATTGCTGCCCGGACTCGAATTATGACTACTAACTTGTCTTGTGGCTTGTGCAATGATTTTGTTGCTGCCGTGTGGAGTTTCATCGCAGAGCTAGCTTAGCTTCTTTTGTTGCATGAAATTATGCAGAGGGCCCGTTTTGAAATCTTAATCTGGACTGGGTTAGTAACTCGGTTTCTGGCATAATATATATATCCCAACAGTGAAAATATCATAACATGACGAAAGGGATCAACGAAAATATGAGAATTTGCTTTCTTCCCGCTGGTTGTAATGATGTTGTTGTGCAGTTTGGGAATGGCCACGGAGCTAGGCCAGTTTAGGAATGTTGTAAGGAGTGGGGGGGGAGAAGCGTGTTTGTGAATATGGCTTCATTGGTTTTCCTTCTTAAATGTCTGTGCAGTTTGCAGAAGGTGCATAACCAGAAAGATAGAATATGAAGATTTGGACACTTGTCCAGTTTGCAACATTGACTTAGGGCCCCTCCCTCTCCACCAACTCAGGTTTCTCCCTCTCTCCCATTTTTTCGCCCTTTTTTCATGATATATCATGATTCATGCAGCAAAAACAACAAACGAGTTTCAACTTGTATGTAGAATAATCCTTTCCAATGTTGCATGAGAAAGCGCTTTGCATGCAACAATACAATCTATTTACTGATATTTGTTCATTCAGTGGGTTTCCGTGCTGATTTCTTGGTTCAGCTTGTTTCTGAATTCCAAGTTGCCACGATTCTTTTATTGTCAACTTTTCAGGCCAGACCATTGTCTCCAAGATTTCAGGGACAAGATTTTTCCTTACAAAAGAAAAAGGGTCGAAGCTGAAGCTGAAGCTGAATCTCAAGCACATGAAACCATGCCTTCACTCCCAGAAGTCATGCCACCACCTTTAGTACTGAAACCTCCATCAGAAACTGTGGCTACTGTGCATGTACCTGCCAGGAGGAAAGAAAGATCTCTGTCTTCGTTGGTGATCAACACACCTAAACTACCAGACGAACCTATTCAGCCAGCAAAAAAGGCTAAATATAGCACAAAAAAGGTTCCTGTTGTTCGAGAATCGGTCACATCTGATGATGAAGAACCTGTCGAGAATGCTGCAGATGGTGACAGATTGAGCTCGCCCGAGACTCTTATCAAGATTGCACAAAGCAGGAGACAGGTAATTAACATGCATTCAAACAGTAAGTCTGTGTTTTAATGCCATCTCACTTTCCAGCTGCTAACAAAGGGCCATGTTACATGCAGAATGGTACTGCTTCTGGGACATCCAAGCGGCTTATGCTGGATAAAAAAGTCGAGGAAGGAATTGAAGAAAGTGAGGAGAAATCTGATCTATTGAAACCATTGAATCACCTGGTTGAAGAATTAGCCGCTGCAAATAAAGTTAAGTCAAACAAGTCCAACCCGCATGGGGAAGTTTCGGTTCCAGTGGTGGTGGCAGTGCCTGTAGATGCCACCGTTAAAGCAAATGATATCGAGATGCCTAATAAAGCCAATGTAAAGGAGCAAGAAGATAACAAACCTCAAGTTTGTTGGAATGAAGATGATTCTGCTGCATCAACATCAAGTTCAGTCAGACCTACAAAGTTGCCTACCGTGCGCCCAAAGAAAGCTGCAATTCCAGAAGCCGTTAACGTTTCGGCACAAGCTACTGTGGATGCAAATAGTAGACAGGAGCAAAGATTGGTCCCTATCTGGTTCTCCTTGATTGCGGCAAATACCCAGTTGAGATATCTAGTTCAGTTTGTTACAGTATTAGTATATTCCCGTGAGAACACCTTTTTGACCTTTTTCCGGTGTCGATTTCAGGGGAGGAGGAGCGCCCTTGCCGCAGATATCTTCACCATATTTGAGGGTCAAGTGAGTTCCATATATTCTGCTATAGTGATTAGGCCTGTCCATGAATGAATTTACAATCATGCTGATCCTTCAAAGCTGGTTAATGTTGGTCTATTTGAATCTGTCACAGGGATGGTACCTTACCCATTTCAGCAATCAAAAAGTACCTTGCGCAGAAGCTAGGCCTCGCAAGTGAGGCTGAGGTAAGATGAATTTGGACAGTTCATTTAACTACCAAGTCAATGAGCTGTGTTTCTATGTATTTCAACTTTCAACTCCGATGCTGAGTTGGCTGGGGGTGATTGATGCAGGTGGAGCTTTCCATTTGTGGTCGGCCTCTGCTTGCCACATTGCAGCTACGAAATCTAGTTCAGTGGTGGCTGCAGACAGTTCCAGCACCTGAAAGAACCCGCACAAGTGTCGGCAGTTCGGCCAAAGATTTCGTCATGGTTCTATACTACAGCCGCAAAGCAACTTAGGGCGCCACAGCACATTGAAACAAGCGTTTCTTTTTAGTTTTTACTACTTGCCCTGCTCTTACCGGTTTTCTTCTTTTGTTTCTGAGGCATTCAGTCGAGCATGTGGCGAGCGTCAACCAGCATTTTCATTTTGTTTTCCCTTTCGGTGGAAAGTTTCACAATTTGTCGATCATATTTTCACTTTTCCATTCGACCCAAAGCTGAAAGAAGAGAGACTAAGTCATTCGAGTATAAAGATCAGATCTTTTTTTTTTCTGTTCCCTTTATTCTTCCTGAACCTTTCATGCATTGATGCTCAAAAGAAGAACAAGAAGAAAGCAAAAATGTCAAGATTGTATTCAAATTGAACAATTAGGGTCAAAGAAAACCCAATTCGCTACAAATTTGACCAAACAAAATCCTGTAAAATCCCTATCCTTTCATCACCAAGCAGTTACAAAGAAGAAGAATCGAAGTCAATCAAATCTGGCTGTAAGCTCCGCCTCCTGGGGTATCATCATCGTCTGATAGCAAGTTTCCATACGGCGACGCCTCGAATTCATCCGCCACAAGATCATCCGTGCTCCTCAACGCGGCGTGCAGCAGCACCAATCCGGCGGCGATCGCCCCGGCGGCAATCACGTTGACCCAGATCCCGGCGACGGAAAAGACCACCACCGACGCGATTACGAGCCCAACCAGCACCACCAAATCGTTGATCTCGAACCCGAAAATCGACATCGGCTCATCTCGGGAGAAGTAGAGGACGACCCAGGCGACGAGCACGATGAAGAAGGCGAGCAGCGCCAAGGGACGGGTGACGAGGCTGAAGAAGAAGATTAGGAGGACGATGATGGCGTAATTGGCACGGAAGAAGGTCAGGTTCTGGGTTACCCGGGCGTTGGCGTCGGTGAGGGGAGAAGGGAAGTTGACGGCGGTGAGGTCGAGGAAGAGCGGCCATGGACGGCAGACCGATGTTAGGGATTGGACGGTTCGCTTGAGCTGGGAGAGGAGATCGGGAGAATCCGACATTGTGAAGTGGAGTGGAGCCGGAGTAGAGATTCGGGCGCAAGGGATTGTCGGATTGACGATTTCTCGCGTGAAGGATTCGCCGTCAGAGAGAGAGATCTCCGACGCGGAAAGGAGGGAGGACAGGAGAGAAGAAAAGCTGGGACGCTCTGATTTGTGCGATTTCTAGGTCAGCTTCGACATTGTCGTGCGTGACCTGGTAGAATTCTGAATTTCTGATTTCCTCCCCGCCTCGGAATATGAGATGGGCCTCGGATTTATCGTTTTTTTTAATGTCAAACCCAAATGTTGCAGCGAGCCCAAATGTCGCAGCGCGCTCAATTACCACGCCTGGCCCATTTACTCAACTGCCAGCACCATTAGGTGATAGTTTAGTATTTAAGGTTGTTTGGAAGTTGGGATTCTCCAAATTGAAGTATTGATCAACATTGTTTGGAGGTTTACATTGTGCTTTGTTATAAATGAAAAAAATAAAGGGTAAACAATTTCATGTTCACAATCTCACCTTTTGGTAGAGATTGATAATCACTCATTTTGAGTGATTGTTGGTGGGCCCAAAAAAGATAATACATGTATTCTGTGACAAATTTAACAAAAAAAATGACTTAATCTTGACATTATATGCATTGGCTAAATATATCGCTTGAAATCACAACCTTCAAACGATTAGTTTTTCTTTTTTTGGTGCGAGTTGAGAGTTTAGTTTAGCACCTAATCTCATTCCTTTAATTTAGGTTTTTTATGTAGAGGAAGCTCATTTCTGGGGGAAAAAATTCAATCACTTGTAAGTTGTAATAAAGAAATATAAATAATATATCAATAAAATATTGGGATGCCGGAGTCATTATAAAACTAGATACTTAAAAATTCATTGTTCCATTTCAAATTTCTTGCATTGAGAGTGAAAATAGAAAGAACATTTTTGTCTTCACAACTACTTATTTCTTTCTTATTTATTCATAAAAAATATATACATATGGGAATTTGAACCATGACCACTTTTAAAAGAGAGAAGAGCTACAACCAATCACGTTACATATATTTGTTGTGTCTTTTAAAAGAAAAACATACACAAACCTAAAATCTCAATAATCAAAAAACTTTTTCAGCGGTCAGCTAGCAACTAAATCTTTCATAATTACTTATTTGGTAATTTGATACTTCGACTTTCATATTTTTTATTATTTTAATTGTATTTAATACTTGATTTATATATCAATGTATATTATAAACATATGATAACTTTAAAATTGCAACACATATATCATTTGGTTGAATATTGCATATAAAATTAGAGTATTAAATAGGTCGACGCAATGTCAAAATTTTAAATTAGTATTAATTTTTAGAATTAACTATGAAGAAATCATATCCGCAGACTATATGGGACTGGGTTTTTTAACGTTTTAACCGGGTTAACTGCTAAGCTTTCAACATGTTCCTAATCTGGCATGATTAGATCCAATGATGATTGTACAAGATTGAGCTTATTTATTGGTTCATTTCACCATTTTTTGACATGTTAATGAATTTCTAGGGCAATGACATATGTCTACGTCTAAACACAATACAATATATAAGACTGGAATGAGAAAAGTATTTTTCCGTTTCAAAATCCTACAATGAGAGCGAAAGTATGAATGGTATATTTGCCTTCACAATTATTAAACTTATTTATTTGTAGAAAATAAAAAAGTATTGGAATTTGAACCAATGTATCTTCCAAAAAAGACAAGAACCATAAGCCTAATTCTCAACCCAAGTTTGACATAGTTGGGCGAATCAGTTTGGCCCAAACCCGAGTATTTGTTAGGATGTTGGAGGCCCAGTTGGTTATCAACCCAAACTTGGTCAAACTAAGAAAATCAGTTGAATTTGGAAATCGAGTTGATTCAACTAACTCACCTAAGCACCGAGTCACTTCAAACCGACATCATTTTCAACAAATCTAATAACTAGTTCTGTTAACATGTCGTCCTTTTCCTTATCAATTACCCATGCAACAACATACATCAACCACCCGTGTTCGGTTATCCCATAATACATTTTCCTCCTTTAGTATCGGCAGACAACAATACAAGTCTCAATCATCTCAAACGCCAACACAGTTCCTCAACAGTCAATTCCATTTTCCTTCCAGCAGCAAGGTCACATCGCCAATCAAGCACATTTCAAACAAAGAATAAATCACAAGTTTAGGCGAACATATATTTGGATTGAGACTTGGTGTGATTAACAAAGACAAATGTCCTCATTTGTATATATACATGAAATCGAATTGGAGAAGAAGAGTAAGAATATTGAGAATGGAATATGATATGCAATGAAAAGAAGAAAAGAAAAAACTAGAAAATGAAATGGAAAAAGATAAAAAGAAAGAGGGAAGAGATTTATAATTAAAGCGTCATTTTAAAGGACCAGTTCCAAGTGAAAGAAATGTATAAAAATGAAACCCATTTACAACGAATAAATTATATTAAATAGTCATTGTATCTAAATGTGGAAACAAGGATAATGAAGGTATGAATTGATTTAATGTGAATAGCTAGATGGTCGATATTTCTTTATAGGTATATTTATATGGACTCAAATAGATTTAAATTGTGGGTTCGGCCCAAATAAATGTTTTTCTGCTCTAGCTCTCTCCACCATTCCATAATGTTCCATAATTCGTAAATTAAAGTAATCCGGCCAACAGGCCAAGTTAAAGCTAGTTATTTTTTATACTTCCTCCAATAATATCTATCTACACAATAAATAAAAGCCAAATGAGAAAACTTGAAGCCCCATTTCAAATTTCCTGCATCCAGAGTGAAAGTAGGAAGGACATTTTGGTCTTCACAATTACTTTTTTTTATTCATTAAAAACACACTTACTAGGATTCGAACCATGGCCACTTTCAAAGAAAAGCAAAGATCATAACCAATCACACTAAGTACGTTTGTTGTATCTTTTTAAATTGAAAATATATAATCGTAGTGAGGAAAAAACCCTTCCCCTATTTCAAATTCCCTGCTCCATGAGCGTTTGCAGGAAGGGTAGAATAGGGAGTGTCAATTTTTTCCTTTTTTCTCTGTGGAACGGGCCAACTTACCGTACACAAGCGGATTTAAACGGGTCCGGGAGTGTCAATTTTGTTCTTTAAGTCCTTTTATTTCTCCGTGGTGGTAAAATATATACGAAAAGACAAAAACAATACTCCTTTTTATTGCTAAAAAGAAAAAAAATTAACAATAAACTAATGCATGGATTCTAATGGGCTAACCGCTAATCATAAATAAAAGAGTTGAATAGGTCTAACCTATACGGGATTTGCCAATCAAGTAATACAAATAAACATCATGGATTTGCCATTCTAAAATAAGCTATTTTCTCTAGCATAATATATATTATGCTATTATTTTATATCTTAGTGGCTAAAATATAATGTATTTTAAAGTTATTCAATGAACCTCGACCAACCCAATTAGTTCAATTTGTATCATTTCAAATATATATTATGTAATTATTTGATATCATAATGATTACATTATAGTGTATATTATAGGGAATCGTTTGATATTTGTTAGTAAAAAAACTAAACAGAAAGATCTATTTGGTTATTTTTAACATTAATTTCATTAAAACGATTCTAAACATTTTCAGTTTCCTTTAGAAATTCTATAGCTTTATTCCCGAATCAGTGATGTGCAAATGGCGAATTGCAGTCATCTCTTTTCTTCCATTATTTTTTATTTTCAAATAGAAAGTTTAAAAGTAAAGAATAATTAGAGGTTGGCATGGGTCGGTCAAACATGCTGAATTTCAAGTTTTGGCCTGTTTTGATCAAGTCTAATTTATAATCACATGGTTCTCTGATACCCGATAAAAATCTCAATACAAACCAGTTTGGCAGGTGAGTCCGTGTTTACCACCATTTTCTAGGGATACAGGAACGGTGGTTCCTATCCTAAATCGTGTTGTTCATTCTTGATTTCTTTAGATTTTATCATGGCTTGGCAAAAAACCAGAAAGCACAATGATGACAAGATGAAAGTTTTATAAAACAAATTAATCGGCCAACGGGCCGAGTAAAAGCTAGCAACGATTGTGAGATGCTCATTTCCCGAAAACCGGCGGGATAGGCGATTTTTTATTCGATTTTCTGAAATTCGGTTTCTATAAAACTTACTCCACCTCATCATATTACCAGAAACAATATTGTTTCACAAGGTAACAGATACTTGATTTTGGTTCATAAGGCTGATTTTTGATTCGTTGCATCATTCATGTCTCTTTCCTACTAAAATTCACTATTTTTATCACGTGTTTCCCAAAAAAAAAAAGTATACAACAATAAGCTATACACTCCATTACGGCATTACATTATCAAATTTCATACCTCATCTTCCTCTACGCTAGTCTAGATCTAGATCTAGATAATAAATAAAAGCCGAATGATGAAAACTGTTGCTCCATTTCAAATTTCCTGCAACGAGAGTGATTATAGGAAGGACATTTTGGTCTTCACAATTGCTTATTTTCTTATTTAATTATTCATAAAAAAGGCATGCACTAGGATTTGAACCTTGGTCTCTTTAAAGGCAAACAAGGATCATAACCAATCACACTAAGTATATTTGTTGTATCTATTTAAATTCAAACATACACGAACCTAAATTATGAAAATCATATGACTTTTTTAACGATTAGTTGGCCACTGAATCTCCCGTAAGTACTTATTTGGTGTTTTAATACTTTGATTATTTTTGTTATAGTTTAATACTTAATTTAAATTTCTATCTATTTTATAAATATACAATAACCCTAAAATTGCAGCCCAAATATCACTGGTTCGAATATTGCATATCGAATTGCAATATTAAACATGTAGAAGCAATATCGACTTATTAAATTAATATCATTTTTCAGAATTACTATGGAGAAATTATATCTTTGTGCAAACTATATGAGACTGGTTCTTTTAATGTTTTAGTCGGGATAACCGCTACATTTTAAACTTCTTCATAATCTGGCATGATTGGATCCAATGATCATTATACAAGATTGTGTTTAATAGGGTGGCTCATTTCACCACTTTTCGGCGTGTTAATGAATTTGTAGGACAATGACAGGTCTACATCTACACTCATCACAATCTACACATCATATAAATGTGAAATGAGAAAA